TGGGGGTGCCGTGGGTGTGGTTTAAATACCTGCACCCCGCCTCCCTAGCGCTCCCCTGGGCGGGTGGCTCTTGTCTCCTTCCCCCTCCCTGTCCCTGCCCTTCCCACCCCCATCACCCTTGCTCCCTGGCTTGGCTACAGGGGGGTGAGCTGGCACCCCTGGTGGGGGGAGCAGAGGGTGGGGGGAAGCGGCTGCAGGTTTGAATCCCGGCTGCCCCCAGGCCCATCCCGCACAACAACCGCTGGGTCCTTGGCGGGTGCTGGGCAGGGGTGAATCTTGGGCTATTCCTCGACGGGGGGCCTGGCTTCCTGTCGCCGCGCCCCCCCCCCGCCCTCCTCTCCCCCTCGTCACATGTCACAAGGGGGCTTGTGGCTGCAAGTGTCCAGTGGCCCAGGGGCCAGGTAACCCCACGAAGCTCCTGTTAAAGCCGTGCTAGGTGCTAGGGCTGACGTGCCAACACACGGGCACAAACACACACGCGCGCCTGCCCGCCACGGGGCTGGTTTTGCACAAGCTTGATTGTTCTAGGTTGGTATTTAATGACTCTGGGTTTGTTTTCTTTGCTTTGATGTATTTAATGGGGGGGAGTATTTCTCAACACCCCCCCCCCCAATTTGTGCACCCCTCCCCCCACCCATCTGTGATGCTGGGGGTGGGGGGGTTGTGGTCCTGGGGGCTGTGAAGGAGCCGAGGTGCTAATTAAAACACTCACCCCGCCTGCCCCTTGTCTCCCATGTCTGGTTTTGTGCAGGGGAGGGGCCGAGTGTTAGAACTAGGAGTGTGGGGGGTATAAGCCCCCATTTGTCCTTCTGATCGCCCCCCCCCGCCTTGTCCCCCTATACTCCCAAAGGCTGTTGAGTGCACCCCTCCCCCCCGTTGGCCTTGGCGGCGGGAGGCAGGTGCTTGAAGTTCGGCGGGAGGGATGTGTGTGGGGGGGCCTTGACTTGGCCTCCTGCCTGGTTGTATGTGCCGGAGGCTCAGAGAGGCAGGGCGTCCCCTCTCTGCCACCCCCCCAATTCCAGTCAGAGCCGGTGGGAGCTACAGCCCTTAATCCGGGCTGGCTGAGACCCCTGCTAGGCCTGTCACCCCTTCCCTGGTTCCGGCCCCCCTGCTGGGGAACAATGGGGCTCCCAGCTCGATTTCCCCCAGCCCCACCTGCCCCCCCTTTTTGTGGTGGGACAGGGCCCTCAGGCCTTCCCCCCCCCCCCCGCCTTGGGAGGAGGGGCAAGTCCCCTGTGCTTAGCGTTAGCCCTTTGATTTCATCCCAGCTGGTCCCTGCTCGTCCCCTCGCCTGGTGGGACACCCCCTTCGAAGGGCTGCTGGCCCCTGGCTACGGGGACCGGGGGGGTTAAATCGACCCTGGGGCTGCTCAGTCCGGCGGGGCCTGGCCCCCTCTCTGCTCTCCTGTATGTGGCCCAGTCGCTGTGGCTGCCGCAGGGGTCCAGTGGGGGACCCAAAGCTAGGACCCCACACCGGTGCTGCGGCCCCCCCAAGGGGCTGCTGGGTGATTCCAGCTCCCCCCCCTTGTGCCCATGCCAGTTGCATTAAATCCCTTAGCAGGAAGGCTGAAGCGCCGAGGCCGGCCCTCAGTTAGTTGGGGCGTTGCTGTTAGCTGTGACGTTCCACCCCAGCCCTGGCTGCATCTCTCGGCAAAGGGGCTGGAAGCTGCTAGAAACAAGGATGCTGTTGCCTCCCACTGGCCCTTTGTCTGCGTGGGAGGGAGCGGCCCCCAGGGCCCAGCCGGCCACAGGAATCGGGTGTCAAGGAAGAGACAGTGGGAGGCAGTGGCCCGGCCTGTCCGGGCACCTGGCTTCCTTTGTTGTGCTGGGGCTGGGCCGACAGGTTCTGATCCCTGATCTGGTTTGTTTCAAACCGCTTCCTGGTGGAGGGTGCAGGGCCCTGCCCCCATGGAGCTAGGCTTGGCCCAGGTCCCATCAGCACCCCGCTCTGCCCTTTCTCTTCCTAGCTCTGGGCAGGAGTAGCTGGGGGAGGGGAGAGGCTAGGACTCCTGGGTTCCTGTCCCAGCTCTGGGAAGGGGGGGTGTTGGGGGAGGGAGGTGGGGATTGAGGGCCTCAGCAGAGTTGGGGAGCCCGGGGCTGGGCGAGAAGGGGGCTGTGGGTCAGGAGCGAGGGGCCCCGGCAGAGCTGGGGGGCTGGGCCCCTCCGGCGCTGCAGAGCCGAGCGCTCTCCTTGGGGCTGCGCCTTTGCGGCTTGCACAACAAGTGTGTACGTGCCCCGCCTGCCCACAGCCCGTGTCATCACCTCCCCACCCCCAGCTCGGCTGGATTCCCCCACCCCACGGTTGCCCCACAAACCTTCCTGTTCCTCCTCCCCTCCCCTGGCCAGGGCCCGCCCTGGGCAGGGATCCCAGCTCCCCAGTCTCCCTCCTCCAGCCCCGAGTGCCTGCAACCCCTCGGGATGGCGTCCCAGCAGCTGCGGGCCCAGACCCTGCCCCTCTCCCCCGGGGCCCAGGAGCGGGACTGGCAGCAGCAGTTCGAAGGGGCCTGGGAGCTGGGCCGCAGGGGGGTCCCCCTGCCCAGGGACCCCGACTGGAAAGCCCTGTGCGAGCGCAAGCCCTTCGAGAGGAACCTACTGCAGAGCCCGAACCCCGAAGGTAACGTCTGTCCCGCCGCGAGCGACCGATGCCAGCTGCCCCCCCCCACACACCTGCTCCAGCCCCCGGGGCAGGGCCTGGCTTCTCGGCTGAGTCAGCCCCAGCTGGGGGGAAGAGCGGGGGTGGGGGGAACGGGGAAGTGGGCCGGGGGAGGAATTGGGGGGGAGGGGGTATATGTACGGTGGTAACAGCCGGGGTCCCGTCGTGCCAAGTGCTGCACACCGTCCCGGCCCTGAAAAGCTCCCAGTCTCGCCAGCCAGGGTGGGGAAGGGAAGGGGGAAGGGCATGAGCCCGGGGGGCACCTGGTTAATAAACCCTGGGGTGTGCCTGGCGAGTGGAGGGTCTGTGCAGGACTTGGGGGGGGGGGGAATTCCCCGTCCC